GGCCTCGTGCGGGGCGGGGCGGGGCCTCGTGCGGAACGGGGCGGTTCCTGGGCGGGGCCTCGTGCGGCGCGGGGCGGAGCTCCGGGGCGGCGGTGCCGGCGCGTCTGTGGTGCGGGGAGCGGAGCGAGGGCCCGGCGGCGCCATGGTGCTCTGCCCGGTGATCCGGAAGCTGCAGCACCAGTGGGTGGTGCTGGCCAGCGCCTCCCCCCGCCGCCGGGAGATCCTCAGCCAAACGGTGAGCGTCTGGGACGGGCCAAGGCCGGGTCTGCAGCGGGGCCTGGTGATGAGTGTCTGCAGGGCCTAGTGACCCAGGGGGCTTAGTCTCCAGAGGGCATAGTGACGGGGTGGGGGGCCTAGTGACCAGGGGACTAGTGTCCAGGGGCCTAGAGTCCAGGGGTCCCTAGTGTCCAGGGGGCCTAGAGACCAAGGGGCCTAGTGATCAGGGAGCCTAATGTCCATGGTCTGCAGGGCCTAATGACCTGGGGCCTAGTGTCCAGGGGCCCTAGAGTCCACGGGGGCTAGTGTCCAGGGAACCCAGTGACCTGGGAGCCTATTGACCTGTAGGGCCTAGTGACTGGGAGATCTTGTGAGCTGGGGGCCTAGTGTCCAAGGGTCCTAGTGACTGGGGGGCCCAGTGTCCAGGAGGCCAGGTGACCCAGAGTCTTCATGACTCAGGGAACCAGTGACGTGTGGGGCCTAGTGTCCAGGTTCCCTAGTGACCAGCGACTTAGTGTCCAGGTGGCCTAGTCATCTGGTGAGCCTAAGGACCTAGAGGGCCTAGTGACTGGGGGATCTAGTGACTTGGGGGGTCTAGTGTCCAGCGGGCCTGGTTACCTGGAATCCTAGTGTCCAGGGAGCCTAATGACCACAAGCCTGTGACCTGAAGGGCCTGGTGACTGGGGGACCTAGTGACCTGGGCGACCTAGTGTCCAGGGGGCCTAGTGTCTAGGGGGCCTATTGACCTGGAGGGTCTATTGACTGGGGGACATTGTGACCTGGAGGGCCTGGTGTCCAGGGTATCTATTAACCAGGGGCCTATTCACCTAGAGGGCCTAGTGACTGGGGGGTCATTGTGACCTGGGGGACCTGTTATCCAGGGAACCTAGTGACCTGGGGTCTTATTGACCTGGTGGGCCTAGTGACTGTAGGACATTGTGACCGGGAGGTCCAGTGTCCAGGGATCTAGTGACCTGGAGGGCCTATTGACCTGGAGGGCCTAGTGATTGTGAACCTTGTGACCCAGGGTCCCTAGTCTGCAGGATACCTAGTGATCTGGAGGACCTTAGTGCCCAGGGGGCCTAGTGACCTGGAGGGCCTAGTGTCCAGGGGACCAGTTGACTGGGGAACCTATAGACCTGGAGGGCCTAGAGTCTGGGGTACCTTGTGACATGAGGGGCCTAGAGTGCAGGGGACCTAGTGACCTGGAGGGCCTAGTGATTGTGGACCGTGTGACATGTGCGGCCTTGTGTCCAGGGGATGTAGTGACCCGGGGACATAGTGACCTGGAGGGCTTAGTGACCGTGGGACATTGTGATCTGGGAGGGCTAGTGTCCAGGGGGCCTAGTGTCTAGGGGGCCTATTGACCTGGAGGGCCTAGTGACCATGAACCTTGTGATATGCTGGGGCCTAGTGTCCAGGGGACCTAGTGACTCGGGGTCTATTCACCTGAAGGGCCTAGTGACCATGGATGTTGTGACCTGGGGATCTAGTGTCTGGGGTACCTACTGACAGGGGGTCTCTTCACCTAGTGGGCCTAGTGACCGTGAACTTTTTGACCTGGAGGACCTAGTGACCGTGGACATTGTGACCTGGGGGGACTAATGTCTGGAGCACCAAGTGACCAGGGCCTATTGACCTGGAGGGTCTGTTGACTGGGGGTCATTGTGATCTAGGGGTCTAGTGTGCAGGCGACATAGTGACCTGGAGGGCGTAGTGACTAGGGGACATTGTGACCTGAGGGCCTAGTGACCTCTGGGGTCCAGTGACCAGGGGGACCTAGTGACCTTTGTGGCCTAGAATCCAGGAGGGCCTAGTGACCGGGTGGCCTAGTGTCCCAGGGGTACCTAGTGACCAGGGGCCCAGTGACCAGGGGGCCCGTGACAGGGGGGCCAGTGACCGGGAGTCCCATTGACAGGGGGCCCTGAGACCCGGGGGTGCCATGGCCAGGGGTCCTAGTGACCAGTAGGCCCAGTGCCCAGAGGCCCAGTGATGAGGGGGTCCAGTGAGAATGGGGCCCAGTAACTTGGGAGCCTGGTTACCAGGAGGGCCAGAGACTGGGGGCCAAGGTGCATGCCCCAGGGCCCAGTGCCCAAGGGCTTAGTGACCAGGGCTCAGTGACAAGGGCCGGGGTGTGTGAGCACGGGCCTAGTGACCAGGGCTCAGAGACGAGGGCCGGGGTGTGTGGGCGCGGGCCTAGTGACCAGGGCTCCGAGACGAAGGCCGGGGTGTGTGGGGGCGGGCCTAGTGACCAGGGCTCAG